GGCAAAAAGACAGTGTCTTCAACAAATCGTGCTGGGAAAATTGGACAGCCACATGCAGAAGAATGAAACTGGACCATTCCTTACACCACACACAAAAACAGACTCCAAATGGTTGAAAGACCTAAACATGAGACAGGAGTCCATCAAAATCCTAAAGGAGAACACAGGTAGCAACCTCTTCAACCTCAGCCGCAGCACCTTCTTCCTAGAAACATCGCCAAAGGCAAGGGAAGCAAGGGCAAAAATGAACTATTGGGATTTCATCAAGATGAAAAGCTTTTGCACAGCAAAAGAAACAGTCCACAAAACCAAAAGACAACCGACAGAATGGGAGAAAATATATGCAAATGACATATCAGATAAAGGGCTAGTATCCAAAATCTATAAAGAACTTCTCAAACTCAACACCCAAGAAACAAATAATCCAGTCAAGAAATGGGCAGAAGACATGAACAGACATTTTTCCAAAGAAGACATCCAAATGGCCAACAGACCCATGAAAAAGTGCTCAACATCGCTCGGCATCAGGGAAATCCAAATCAAAACCTCAATGAGATACCACCTCACACCCGTCAGAATGGCTAAAATTAACAGGTCAGGAAACCACAGATGTTGGCGGGGGTGTGGAGAAAGGGGAACCCTCCTACACTGTTGGTGGGAATGCAAGCTGGTGCAACCCCTCTGGAAAACAGTATGGAGGTTCCTCAAACAGTTGAAAATAGAGCTACCATACGATCCAGCAATTGCACTACTGGGTATTTACCCCAAAGATACAAATGTAGGGACCCGAAGGGGTACGTGTACCCCAATGTTTATAGCAGCAATGTCCACAATAGCCAAACTGTGGAAAGAGCCCAGATGTCCATCGACAGATGAATGGATAAAGAAGAAGTGGTATATATACACAATGGAATATTATGCAGCCATCAAAAGGAATGAGATCTTGCCATTTGCAACGACGTGGATGGAACTGGAGGGTGTTATGCTGAGTGAAATAAGTCAATCAGAGAAAGACATGTATCACATGACCTCACTGATATGAGGAATTCTTAATCTCAGGAAACAAACTGAGTGTTACTGGAGTGGTTGGGGGTGGGAGGGATGGGGTGGCTGGGTGATAGACATTGGGGAGGGTATGTGCTATGGTGAGCGCTGTGAATTGTGCAAGACTGTTGAGTCGCAGATCTGTACTTCTGCAACAAATATTGCAACATATATTAAGAAAAAAGAAAAAGAAGAAAATAGCAGGAGGGGAAGAATGAGGGAGAGTAAGTCCGAGGGGGAGACGAACCATGAGAGACTATGGACTCTGAAAAACAAACTGAGGGTTCTAGAGGGGAGGGGGGTGGGAGGATGGGTTAGCTCGGTGATGGGTATTAAAGAGGGCACGTTCTGCATGGAGCACTGGGTGTTATGCACAAACAATGAATCATGGAACACTACATCAAAAACTAATGATGTAATATATGGTGATTAACATAACATAAAAAAAAACTAATGATGTTCTGTATGGTGACTAACATAACATAAAAAAATAATAATAATAAATAAATAGTCCGGTGCTTAACTGACTGAGCCACCCAGGTGCCCCCACATTTGCCTTTTAAAAGTAGACCTCACTCTGGAACTTACTGAAACACCATGGAAAAGACAACTGTTAGCCTCATGGGCTATATACTTCCCTGATGATCATATGCAGGTACATGAACAAGATCTGGCATCTGTTTAGGGACCTGTTTTGTATGACCCCCAACCCTACACCCATCCTTTCTTTTTTTGTGTACTTAAACAACAACAACAACAACAACAACAACAACAACAACTAAGGTTGTAGAATTACAAAATTCCTTCCACCTTGGAACCTTAAGTTGGATGCCCTCAACTGATTTTAGTCCTTTGGGAGTCAATGTGTGTTGCTGCTTATTTAAATACAGTTCAGCTAGAGCTCCAAGAGTGGCCGGTATTTTAAAATAAGTATCTCATTTTTTTTAAATGAGGAGTAGGCACCTGAGCAGGGAACCTCGGGTGACTTAATTTAGTTCACCAGTGCCTACTCAATGGAAGAGCTGGGTTTTTATTCTTGAAGAGACTCATGGAAGGGCATGTTTCTTATAGGGTCACATACTAATTTTTTAAAAAGATTTATTTATTTGAGAGAGGAGAGAGCACATGGGGTGGGGGGGGCAGAGGGAGAGGGAGAGAGAGAATCTTAAGCAGACTCCCCCCCAATTCCCTGTGAGTGTGGAGCTCGACTAGTGGCTCATTCGATCTCATGACCCTGAGATCATGACCTGAGCCAAAACCAACTCAACAGACTAGGCACCCCTAGGTTCACGTAGTAATTTGTATAAAAATGTCCTTGGTGCAGCTTATGCCAAGTAATTATGAAAACTGTTCTTGAGTATCATGTGAAGGTTACGAAGTTGGAATAGGCAAGTCATGGGTGTGAAAGCTCTCATTTATCCACCTCATTTAATTTTTAGCTTTGTAGCTGACGTCTCTATTTTCCTATTTTAGGACAGCTGAAGTGTCCTGACACCCTTTCTTAAACCTGAATTTATGTATGGTGGGGCCATGCGAGATATTTTTTGTGATTTTTTTATTCCCCTTTTTGTATATGTAATATGAAGCAAAGGATGAAACATTGCTCTAATGGTTTAACAAAGGAGGAGAATGAAAGACCCTAATTTCTGGGTGGAGAAGTCAGTCTCCTTCAATGTGGAAAAGTAGATCAAGACTGTTCTCAAAAGTTCTTCTGTGTTATTGTACCTGACTTTAGGATCCAAATTTTTTTTTGGCCAAGTCATGCCTTTCCTCCCGGAATTGTAAGTGGGACGCAAGACTCGCCCTTTTTCACACTGCGAAGTACATATTGTTACAGAGAACATACCAGAGCCTTTCTCACTGTTAAGCAAATAATGCCTCATGAATATATGATCTATGCAGAAACTCCTGCAGTTTTACCTGCTGATGCTGGCTGTCTGTTGGAGAATAAATTTTGAATGTGTTCTTCTTCCTCCCACCCCCAAAAATAAAATAAATAAAAATAAAGTAGACCTCACTCAAGCTTATGAATAGATGCTCCATTTCTAATAATTAGAGAAATGCGAATGTGATTTTAAAAAATGAGATACTTTTTTCACTTACCAAAATGGCAAATATCAAACAGTTTGGGAATACTGTATGTTGGAGAAGTAGGTGCCCTCATATTGTTGGTGAACGTGGAGATTGGCATGACATCTAATGAGAGCAATCTGATCTTATTTATCAAAATTTTAAATTCACATACCCTATGACTCAAGTTCTATTTTTAATAATTTATCCTCCATGTGTATACTTTATATACACATTTCTGCCATATATGTGTGTTATATATGTCCATAGACATTCACATAGAGATATTTACTGCAACATTATTTGTAGCAGCAAAATACAGGAAACAAATCAAATATGCATCATTGGTACATATAGTACACTCATAAAATGGAACACTTTGTGCAAAGATTTAAAAAAAGAGACAGATTGCCTCTAGGCCTGTTGGCTAAGATCAAGGGTAAAAAATGAGATAGGTATGAATGTATTGACATATGAAAAGAGCTTATATAATAAATGTACTGACATATGGAAAGAGCTTCATGACATGTATTAAGAGAAAAAAGCCAAGTGCAGAACAGTGTGTGTGTAGTCTGTGTAAACATGCATATTCATATATGTATGTTTGTATATGTGTACAGCGTGTATTGAAGGCCACCCCAAAACTCGGAAGAGTGGTTCCCTTTGGTGAGGGGAACAGGAGCCTGGGAGTTCACGGTATGGGGTAGACACACTTCAAGTATTACTTCTTAATCTTTAGTCATATGCGTGTGTTACTTAAGACACACACGTACGCACAAATGAGCACTCAGGTTCTGCTGGGGGGAGCACAGAATGGAGGCAATTTGGTGGTCTCTATGAAATTATCAGAGCATTTACCCTTTCTGGGAGTGTATTCTAGCAGTATACCTGTCCACACACAAAATGACATATGTAAATGGCTATTCTTGGTAATTGGAAGATTGGGAATAAAAAAAGTGCCTATCATTAGGGGGCTGGTTAAATAGTAACAGTGTCTCCTCACAGCGGACTCCTATGACGCTCTTAAAGAATGAGGGAGCTCTCTATTAACTGATGGAGAAAGCTCTTCAGGAACTATGTGAAGTGCAAAATGCAAGGGGCAGAACAGTGCCTGGAATGTGCTACCTTTTGTGTAAAAAGAGGGGGAAATAGGAACAGACATATGTGCCCACAAAACATGCTAACATTTTCTTGAATTTGCATAGAGTCAATGGAAGGATACACAAGAAATTAAATTGGTTCTTAGCTGAGAGTAATATTCAAAATACATAACCAACCAATCAGAATAGAGGCTGGTCCCAAACCACCAGAACCAGTGAAAATCGGCCTTGCCTACAGGTGGAGAGTGCAGGGGGGAGGGGCGGAGGTGGTAGGAATAGAAGGATCACGGTAGACAGGAGGGGCGAGGACGGGAATGAGACTTCCCAATGTTCGCTTTCGATGATGTTTTAATTTTGGACCCGTGGGACCGTATTACCTATTTCAAAATAAAAATAAAAAATAAAATACAATGTCTTCTATATTCCCCAAAAGAACCTAGACAGAAAACAAACAAACAAACCCCAAAACACTATTAAATAAAATCTGACCTCAAGGAGAGCTCTGTGCTAATCAAAGGGAATGACTGTCTCAAAGGATACAATTTAGGTAACTTGAGGCTGACCAGCAGAAGGATATTTTAGGGAAGGTCACTTTTTCAAAATAAAGGTGGCATAATATGCCCCTCGCTGGGTCCAACACTCACCACTCTCTCCCCACCCAGTCCAGCTTGGGTGCTGGTGTTTATTCTAACATTTATTGAAAGACGTGTAGTCCTTGCCCTCTAAGAGGTCGTGGTCAGGTAATGTTCATTCCCATGATACCCTCAGCTTTTTAAGGATCCTTACCGTGTGACTCCTTAGAAGCTTGTCCCATTGGATAATTCCATTTCGCTCGGAGGCCGATGTGTGGTAGGTGCATGGAAGGGTAACGCTCTTTCCCCGGGCAGCCCGAAGAACATCCTGTGGGGTTTCCACAGAGATGGCATTGACAGTTGCCCAGACTGGAAAGAAAGTGGGAAATGGGAAGAAGTAAATGACATGGCAGAGCCACTCATTGCCCAGAGGACCTCTGAGGGAATGCCCAGTGACATTTTCCTCCTGCGACCACAACTAGACACACTACAACTGTGATCTTGGCCATGGCACACCCTCTGTTCTCCAAGACTGAAGTGAAGACGGTCGTGTGCCTTGGTCCACCCTACACCCATCCTGCAACATCACCAAGAAGTTAAATGCATTGTATGGTAGCTAAAAGCCCAGCTTTGAACCGCAGTCCCACCTCTTACAAGCTGTGTGAACTTTTCTCATCCATAAAATAAGAACACCAGTACTTCCCAGAGTTGTCGGGAGAACTTAGTGAGATAATATTTATAAATACATTTTTTTTTTTTTAGTCTCTGTCTCATAGAAAGCTCTTGGTAAATAATCCTCACCGCCTTTTTTTGTTGTGATGATAATGTAGTCCTACATTTAACAAATTTTTATGGAGCACTTAAATGTGGTAAGGAGTTTTATAAATAAGATTAAATGAAGGTAAAGAGATAGAGGGTATTCCCAGGTGAGTTTATTCTACATAAGTTTACCAGGAAAAGGTGAGAAAAGCAGTGTGACCACACCAGTATCTCCCATCATGTATATTCATCTTTCCACATGATGGTGACTCCTTCATCTGTGTCCCCTCCTCTTGAAAATGAGTAAGCGGGGACTACAGCATGAGGGGCACCATATGGCTTCTCATGCTAACTTGTAAGAGGCCATAAGATTTGCTTGGTCCTCTTGAGATGCTCCCTCTGAGAACCCAATAACATTCTGTGCAAAAGTGAAGGAGCCACATGGAAAGCCCACATGCAAGTATTTGGGACAGAGCGCCAGCTGAGGTCCCTTGGGAGAGCCAGCATCCATTCCCAGCATGTGGATGAGCATGCTCAGCTGTCTAGGAAAGCAGGGCTGAGCTGTCCTTGCAGAGCCTGCCCAGAGAGAAGATTCATGAGCAAAATATACACTGGCATTGTTTTAGGACACTAAGTTTTGGGGTGATCTGGTTTGTAGCAATAGATGGTTGAAACAGAAAGCCATGCAGATACCTGTCATGAGAACTTTCTAGGCAGAGTAAAGGTGGTCCATGTGAGGAAGAGCAAGGAAACCATGTGGTTGGAGGGGAGGGAGGAGGAGAGATGAGGCAGAGAGGTGGAGAAGTCTCAGGCCACCTTGGGCCTCATAGCCCATACTTAGGACTTCTCATTTTTCTTTGGAGGAGGTGGGAAGCCCTTGGAGGGATTTAAGCTCAGGTAATATACTTGACATACATTTTTAAAGGCGCATCCTGGCTGAAGTGAGGTGCAAGGAAGGAGGAGATTGGGGAACAGAGTGGAAGCAGGGCAAGCAAAGAAGAAGCTCTTCCAGTTGTGTAGGTGAGTGTTAATGGTGGCTTGGGCACAGGTCAGGGGAGTGGAGGTGGGGAGAAGTGATCCGAATTGGAATGCATATAGAAAGTAGAGCCAATGGGATTTGACTGCAGATTAGATTTGACATATTAGAGGAAAAGAGAAGTCAAGGATAGATAAGGGGTTTGGCTGAAACAACTGGAAGGATGGAATTGTCATTTATGGAGATGAGGAAGACCCAGAGGGGCAGGTTTTAGGGGGAAGATCAGGAGTTTGTCTGTGGACGTGTGAAGTTTGGGATGCTTATTAGACACTCAATAGAGGCGTTGAGGAGACAGTTCCCTGAGGAGGTCACTGGAGGCCAGAAGATGGGGAGGAAGACAGAGAAGCACACAAAGACAGGGAAGGTATTTGGGGACGGAGCCCTGGGGCACTACAGCGCTTAGTGGTGGAGAAAATGAGGAGAAACCAGCGAGGGAGAAGGCGAACTGGCCAGGGGGCTAGGAAGAGAGCCCAGGAAAAGTGGTTCCCAGTGGCCAAGCAGGAAAAGTGTTTCGTGAAAGCAAAGGGGGTCAGCTACGCCAAAGCTGCCGATCTGTTGGGCCGGGGAACTGGGAACTGAGGGATGACCGCTGGATGTGGTGACGTGGAAGGGACGAGGGGACCTCGGCCTGAGCAGATGCCATGGAGTGGAGATGGAGCCTGGCAAGATGGGCTCAAGAGCAAGTGGGATGAGAAGAGGGCAGTCTTTGCCAAAGGGACGCGGGGGTTAAAGGAGTCTGTGGGGTCAAGAGAGGTTTGTGCCTTTTAAAAATATATGTTTGATGATTTAAAAAAAATTTTTTTTGATCCTGCGGCCCTCATGTTTTTCTCTTCTATGCGATCTTTGCCTCTCAGCGGGTGTGACAAAAGTACCAGATGGGACACCTAATCTGCGACTAGACAAGTAGGAGCAGAGAAGTTCATTTCGAGAACCTTCCAACCACCTACCTCCCTTCCTCCTTCCTTGTGTGGGTCTACACTGGGTATCTCCTTTCTAGTGGTTCAGAAAAGGGTAGGTTCTGCCATCCTGCTGCAGCCTGAAAGCTGTGGGTGCCCCGTGCTCCAGAAAGATGCTTTCTCACCCTCGCCACTCCCCTGCTCTCTTCCTCCAGGCTGAGCCCTTCTCCTGTTCATGAAGAACATCCACCTGATGCCCAGCTAATTCCCCCGCAAGGGGCTACAAACGAATAGTTCAGGGTTGTGTTAACCTCCCTCAGGGTAGACAAACTGGGAGAGTGAGTGCTTTTCACCTCCAGGAAGAAATCAAAATCTCCCAGCACCAGAGTAGTTTGCTGAGGAAGAAGTTTAGAGCGCATTCACTGTCCCAGAGGAAATGTCCACTCTCCCCGGCAGAATCAGTACTCACAAGTACTCGCCTCCTAGGACTCCTGTCTCATGCAACTTTATTACACGCTACACCAGAGTGGTCAAATGCAGGAACCAAACTGCCCGGGCTGCCGTCCTCATTCTTAACTTTTTCTAACTGTGTGACCTTGGCCACCTTAATTAACTCTTCTGTGCCTCAGTGTTCTCAACTCTAAAACGAGGATAACAAGATTACCTAACAATATTGTGAGGGTTGAATGACTTACCATATTTAGCGGGCACATCATCTAGCCCGGCATGCAAGCCAGAACCATACCAGCACTCTCTACTGTCACGTCTTTCTGCTCTGCGACTCTGTTTTCTTCATCTCCACGTCCCCAGGGCTCAACAAAGTGCCTGACATAGGAGGTGCTCAAGTAAGTGGTCTTTGACAGCAAATACGTGAGTGACAGAGGATTTAAGCTTAAAAGATGGGGAGGACTCAAAACCAGAGAAACTTGTTGGAGAACCTGTCTTACAGATTGCTAGAAAATGTCCAAAAAAAAAAAAAAATCAAATAAAGGGTCAAGAGAGCCCCCAGAGCAAGATGCCTCAGAAGGAAATGACATAGGTCATTTTTTAAAAAGATTTTATTTATTTATTTGAGAGAGAGAGTAAGAGACAGAGATAGCGAGAAAGAGCATGAGTGGGGAGAACAGGGAGAAGCGGCTCCCCGCTGAGCAGGGAGCCCGATGTGGGGCTCGATCCCAGGACCCTGGGATCATGACCTGGGCTGAAGGCAGATGCTTAACCGACTGAGCCACCCAGGCGTCCCGAGAGAGGTCATTTAACCTCCCTAAGAGGGCGTGGTGTGGGGACCCCCGGCCCCAAGCCTTGCTGATTGCTTGTAAATAACGAAGGTTTGTTAAGAAGATAATAAACCATCTCTTGAGAGCTAACCAGAAAGTAATACATCCAAGGAGGATAATGAAATGCTTGCGGCATACACAGCACATTATGGGAACCCTTGGGAAACTGGCAGTTAATGCCTCCACTCAGGCAAATCCATTTGCTCAGAGAAACCACATTCTTAGGGAGGAAGGGCTGGAGGCCAGAGGTGTCCCAGCCTGCCCTAGGACGAGGCCGGGGCTCTTCGCTGAGAAAATAGGGGGCCCCTGGCTGGGGAGGGGCAGTTCACACAAGCGGGCTGGGTCGTCCTACCTCCGCTGGGGTCGGTGCAGGGCTGCGTGGCTGGAACTCAGTTCTGGATGGATGTTTAGGAATCTGCAAATGCCAATCAATTCAATGCATTGTTCCTAAGGTCGTGGTCCTAGGCCCCCCTAGCAAGGCACTGGGAAAGTGATCAGAGGCATGTTCACGAGCCACCTCTTCCAGAAAGCGCTGGGACCATCCCAGCCCAGCTTGCAGGCTCGCAGGCTTTCCGGAGCTGCGTCTGGTGGCACTCTGCACGCGCACACAATTCTCACGTCGCTGGGGTTTGGGGCAAGGGGGCCTCCTCCTCTCAGCGGAGAGTATGCCCCTTCTAGCAGGGTCTGTGTCTTGAGTTTCTCTTGTGTCTACTCTTTGACAGTTCCTACCTCAAGGTTTCTAGAGAGCTGGGTGCTGATAAGACCTTGTGGATTCGGGGGCCTGGGGCACAGGCCCTGCCCAGGAAGCAGGCAGAGGTCACTGTCAGTCAGCCGCCTAATGGAGCCTAATTAAGTGTTAAGTGCAAGGGTTAAGGAAGTAAAGTGGAGAAGTTGGGGGGGGGCTGTGCCACCTGAAGAAGGCTTGTAAAAGAAAGGCTTACCAAGGAGGTGGGACTTGAAATTGCCCCCAAGGGAGTCACTTCACTACGTTGAACTTGTATATGTAAGAAAATAAAGCAGAATGCACAACTGTCTATACAACAGCATCCCATTCCACATAATCACAGAGAGAGAGCAAATTCTAGAAGAAAATATACCAAAACAGAGTATTAATAACAGTTACCTCTGGATTCTGGGATCATGGATAAATTTTGTATTGGATACAATATTTTTATTTTCCAAATGTTCTGTAGTAAACATGTGTTACTTTTGTAATCACAAAGCCATGTTACAGTTTTATAAATCAAGCTGGACTTGAGGAAGCAGAAACAGGAAGGGCAGCCTATTTTGCCAAGGAGCTCACCTAACACAGGGAAATGAAAAAGCTGAAATGAGGGGCGCCTGGGTGGCTTAGTCGTTAAGCATCTGCCTTCGGCTCAGGTCATGATCCCGGAGTCCTGG